CATAACTGAAGACATCCATTGCAGGAGAATGTTCCCTTGGACTGCCTGCTTCAGGTGCTGAATAGACAGGATTGCGTGTGCTGGTAAGTGGCTGAAGACTAACTGTACCATAATTTGATTGACTGTGGTAGAACAGTTAGTGAATTGTGTGATATATTGAGAGACTGCAAATTAGTCAATTGGCCAATGTCTATACTGGTAAACACTGTAGTTTATTATAACTGAGGGAGAGATAAAGGAAACAAAAAAATGAACTAAATACAAAACAGAATAAGTGATGGATATTGGTATCTCAAAAAGTTTGTGTCACTAAATTGTGTAAATTTAAATTAAATTTTGCAAAAAATAATTTAGTAAATAAACTAGCATATCAGCTAAAAAGCAAAAATTAAAACAATTTTTGTCAATTAATAAAATTTCACACTCGATAGATAAGTACATGTATGCATGGAGAGAGATATACATGTACATATGGTAGAGAGTGGATACAATATTTACTTAGCAAAGTAGTTTATCCAGTTTGATCACATTATAGAGCTGTTGCACGGAAGTAATCAACAGGAGGGTGTGGCTAAAATTGAGCTAAATTGTCCGCCATGTTGGGTGGCAAGAAGGCTAAGAATGAATGGGGGAATGGAGAAAAAAATTTAAATAAATTCTGCAATTGACATTCCAGGCTAATGCAAGGTAGGAGATGAAGATATTGAGTAAAGAAGTCTCTATAATATTCTGCAGTGAAGTATGATATCTCTTTGATGAAAAATCGCAGTTTGTTTCCATTCCTCCATTCGTTGCGTGTACATTCTTGCCACTCAAAATGGCCGACAGGAAGCCCCGCCTACCCCGTTGACTACATCCGTGCAACAGCTCTATTACGTAGACATGTTAACTCATTGTACTGGACCTATAATAACAATAACACACAACATGTAAACATAATTATGAGTCTTTAAACAAAAATAAACAACAAACTAAACTATAAACAAATGTACAATATTCAAGGGAGTTGTCTCAAAGCATGCAGTATCCCATGCTATTAAAATTTAATTGATATATACATGTACACTAAACATGTATTATAATATTAAAAATCTTACTATTTTTATTCTCACATCAAGCACTGACAATGATTAAAGTTTTTGATATCTTCACATTCGTTAGATGATAGACATTCACCCACTAACTTTCATACATCCACCTGTTCTGATGTTCATTAATGCGTCATAAAAATGAAAATCAAGAAATCATTTCACAGATCATTTTTGGTGGATTAACCTACCTCAGGTAGGTTAATCCACCAATCTATTTAACAGGTTCAGTGAACCGGTTTTATAAGCTTGTTTTAATAAGGATTCTGGTACAGTCCCCTCCTTACCTACCCCATCACTTTGACTAGGAGAATTAAAGGAGTTGGGATTTGGTTTGAGTCTAGTAGAACCAGCACATGTAGTCTCGCCTCGCCCCACATGCAGCAGTACTGAGATATTCCACTGGCACCACGACTGGAACTCATCTCATGAATTTTGGATAAATGGGTGTGGTGTTGAGTTGCATAGTTTGATTACGTAGTCTCTAATATCAAGAGTAGATAATAATTAGAGAGTATCCCTGTAACTCTAATAGATATCTATGGTTTGGGTGGGGCTGGTATTTTGCAAGAATGTCATCTAAAAGTGAGGGCCATTATTCTCTTCTCTTTGTATCTCTTTCATTCATTCTTTGTCTCTCTTACTCTCTCACTTTACTCCTCTGTATCCTGCATGTCCTTATTCCAACTCATCACTTACTGTTTCTCTGTTACTGGTACCTCTTGTTCTCTATAGACTATCAACCAGTCAAGAGAAATAGTCACTCCACAGTAAAAGTAGGAGACTACCTATATATGTGGGGTGGGTACGGGTCTGGATTACACTATGATGTGATGGAGGTTTATCACTTACCAACTGGTGCTTGGGACCAGAAACCTACTACTGGCACCCCACCACCAGTTGTTTGGGGCTATTCAACCGTAGCTATAGGGAAGGACATATATTATTTCGGTGGATATGGTGGTGGTTATTGTCATAACAGCTTGCATTGTTTCAATGTGGATTCATTCAAGTGGAGGGAACTCTCTCCTTCTAGTTCTGATTGTGGTCCAATGAAGAAGAGCTATTGTGGAATGGCATCAGCTCATTTTGACGATGAGGACTGTCTTGTAATAATTGGAGGAAAAAGGGAATTCTCTTCTATCAATCCTCCAAAGCAACCTGATGCTCAGTATTCAGCTGATGGTAGATGTAATGAGATACATTATTACAGGATTTCTTCAGGTTATTAATTCTCATCATTGATGCACAATAGTGATCAGTATTTTGAACTGAATAATTTATATTAATGTACATAAGATTGTTAATAATTAAGTGTGTTTGTTAGTGTGTCTCTGTGTATCATGTGTTAGTGTGTGATGGTGACGTGTGTCTATATGTGACGTGTGTGTGTGTACTCTGTGTATGATAGTGCATATAGTATATGTGAGAATTTATGAATGTATGATGTGTGGTGCTAGGCAAATTATGCTTTAATTTCTGCCTATTATGCATTTAGGCACTGCTCCATATTTCATCCTATTATGCTTTGAAATAAATCCAATTATGTTCATTTTATGCTCATACTTTATACTTTAATCAAGTATCGGCTATCAAGTTACAAGTATGTATCTGTTATAATGGCAATGAATAATGCCAGAATCTGGAAATGCTTCCAAAGACTTTGAGTCACTGGAAAATAGAATAGCCTAATTAAGTTATTGGACTCGCGTAGGCGGGTACTAAGCAGTTGGGTTGTCATTACCCGAGCCCACGCGTAGGCGTGGAAGCGAGGGTAAAGCGGTCGTCCTGTCAGTGTGTGTGTCCAAGCCAAATCTGTTTTCAAGCCTCTGCTGTTTTCTATTTGAGTTCTTAAGAGTCTTATAATCAACACTAGAGCTAGGAAAAGTTTGTTCCTATCAGCCTACTGCTTCATTTATCTTTTCCGCAAGAGCAAAAGCTAACAAAGTTGTTAAACTTAGGTCAGCACTTGCACAACTCTCTCATCGTGAAAGGAATCATAGCAAAAAACTAATGAAGCAATAGAACAAAACTTTATCTTTTATTATATGTAAGAAATTGCTCCAATCATCTTTGTTTTCAAGATATGAGAGCCCAAACATTCATACCTTGTGGTGAGGCTCTCTTCTCCAGAAGTAGCGGCCAGAGTCTTTAAACATCAGGGACTCAATAGACATTTGTATGCAACAAATAGAGCCTAACAATTGTATGCTAAACTGTTTAAAAGTCGAGAAAAACTAAAGTTTTCTTGACCACTTAGCCCACCATTACTCCATCACTGTGTGTGCTGGTGGAGCATGGCTTGATTGAGCCACACCTTCATTGCAGCCACACCTTTACATTGCTGCAGCATGCAGCAGTCAGCAAACATGCTGAAGCTTCTTCTCTATCTAAAAAATACAAAACATTCTCTGTCTCAAAACATTCACTAAGTTTTAATAAATCTATTACATGCTGAAGCTTCTTCTCTGTCTCAAAACTTTCACTAATTATTTTCTCTTAATTTACAAAAATTATCTTTTTGTTTGAGCAGTCTAGAGCTCTATTTCTTCTTCTAGCAACAGACAAAGTTGCCTTCTTTCATCTAGTTATGCTCTTGTAGCATCCCGTGGCATCAAAAGCTGTGAACTGCTAAACCAGGGGACCTCTCTCCAGGTGAGAGCTCGTGTTTCACTCTACAGGGCCGAGATTTGCTTCAGAGGTAGAAAATCCCATCTAACGAAAAACAAAAAGAACGATTTTGTCCTAACTTCGTTGTTTGTGAGTTACAGTTGCTCAAAGTTTGTGATTTGAGAATTTTTCAGGCGGCACTGCGGAAAGCAGGAGCAACCAAACTCTCTCAGTCTCTTTTTTAAATCTATAAAAATTTTCTGTGCCAACTCTTTCTTGGAATAGAGCTTCAGATGCTAAAATAAATTTCAGCTTTTCTTCTTTCTCCTACCCATGTGCCATGATTTAGTTAGTTGTTGACCACACCCATAGTTTATTTTAATTATCATTATAACTATGCAGTCCATAATAATAATTTTTTTCAAATTGCTTAAAATATCACAGTACAAGTAATACATATCACTCAAGTGAATTCCAGCAGGCGAGTCCATTGCACCATAGTGCTTCATTGTACTAGTGCTTGTACCACCATCTGCAATATTGAACTGCAATTTCATGTAGTCAGGGGTGTATGGACAAAAAATTTTGACCCATTATGGTACAAATTATGCTAGCATAATTTGCCTAGCCCTAATGATGTGTGTATGTGACATATATCTATAATGTGCATGTTATGTGTGTGTGTGAGTATTATCATGTATCTGTGTGTGTCTGATGTTTGTATATGTACATGTATCTATACATAAGCTAATGTGACATGAGTATGTGTGTGTGTATAGGTTCATGTTATTTATTATCATTTTTAATAAAGTTCTGTATGACATGAGTCACAAATTACCCACATACAATGTTCCATCAGTTTTGCATAATTATTCATTAACAATGATCATAACTGACATGTACCTGAATAGATTAGTAATCTTCAAATAAGGAGACCCCCCTGTACCTCTCCTTCATGTGTACAGGTGTGGTGTGTGTGTGTATCCATACATGAGTGCATCTGTGTGTGTGTGTGTGTGTGTATCATGTGATAGTGATGTATGTCTATGGATGATGTGTATGTATGAATAATAATGTACACACATACACATACATATGTATGATGAATGTGTACAATGTATGTGTGTGTATGTGGTAAGAAAGTGTACATGAATGTTTGTACATTATTATTAGATCAATGGATATTTCCTGTTGTTACTGGAGACAGACCACCTCCTATTAATGACTTCACTCTAACACCAGTTACTAATAACACTGTGGTAATGTTCGGAGGCTTTTCTGGTACTAGAGAGATTAATAAACTGTATATGATAAGTTTCACTAAGACATCAGTGGTGAGTTAATACTGTAGCATGGGTTTTGATTGTGAGATTCTTTTGATTATAAATTATGTGTTTCCAGTGAAATTCTATTGACAAAAATTGTATTTCATCAAAACTGCATTGATGTGACATGATTTATATGTAAATTAGCTGTCAATAAAATCCAATGTACATGTAGATTATAAATACTATTTAAAATGATTTATTCTCTCAGGATGTATTAGAAGTACAAGTACCTAATCCTGGAGGATTAGTACAATGGCCTAAGGGAAGAAAGGGTCATTCCAGTGTACTGATTACCACTAGTTCAGGACCACACTTACTAGTGGTGGGTGGAGATCCTGCCTATGATGTATGGTTACTGGACATTAACAAAAGAAAATGGAAAGAACTGGTAAATATTATATTATGATGCTTGATAATGAAACATAAAGTGATTAACTAAATTTGTAACTCATGAGGTTTGTAATGTACATGTACATATTATGATACTCAGTGAAAACTACTGATGAATAATGCTAGTATTCAGTATGTGTGTGTGTGTCTGTCTGTTTTTAGTGTGAATGTGTGTTTGTGTTTTGTCTCTTTACCTAAATATGTGTGAACATGTGTCTGTGTGTGTTAAGATGGGTTCACAATTGATACAGTGTCAATGCTGGAATTAAAATAAATTCTGTTTCATATATATTGTGTACATTGTGTATGTACATACAATGTATTTGTATGTATGTGTGCATATGTTGTAATATGTGCATGTGTGTACTAACACGTACGTCATGTGTACTTGTAACATGTACATGTGTGTGTATGTGTATGAGCAATTATTCATGCTTTACATGTACTTTTATATGTCTATGCATGTATAGATGTACATGTATGTGTGTTAGTGTGTCATTAGTATGTGTATGTGTATGTGTGTACAAGCAGACACTTAGTAAGTTCTTAATTGAGGACTCACATGATATAATAACACACTCAGTTGTGTATACTTGTCTATTAATATATTGTGTATGATTAATTTTATTATGTCATCTTTGTGTTACATAAAACACACTGTGCAGACTATAAAACTGTGAGTTAGTTATTGTGTTTATTAACCAGATATCAAATCAGCTTAATTTTATAGATTAATCTACCAGTCAATGTCACTTGGAGATACTGGCATTCTCTTTCAGTGTGGAGTGTGACCCCAACTACTAACTGGATAATTGAGTTTGGAGGATACACTTCATACACTGATACAGCAGTTATTGAACTCAGTAAGTACATGTAGACAATAGTAGATACAATGTGTATTGAATATGTAATGATAATTAGTAATGATAATATTACAATAAAGTAAGTAATTCTTATGATGAATATTTAATGAGAGCATTTGACATAATACCTATATGATACTAATTACTACCAATTCATTCCTGCTATGTACAATAGTGAAATATAATAATTAAACATAAATCCATCAATAATAAGTAGCTATAGTAACTAGTTGTAATTAATTTGTGTACTTCTTATTCTCCACTATTTTGTTACTGTATATAGGATATACTAGTGATAATGATTGGTCAACTAGTGTAATACCTTCGGACCAGTATCAAGATCAACTAAGAAGAAGGATATTGAGTGATTGGGAGAATTTAGGAACAGAGAAACAGCTTCAGACATTTCAAGATCTTCTCCAATTACAAAAAGAAAGAGCATTTTATGAGGAACAGCTTCAAAGAGAAATAAAAGAGAAGGAGCAGATACAGCAAGATCGAGACAAAGAGCAGCAACAACTTCTTCTAGAAAAGGCAACACTTAGTCAGCAACTTGATGATGCTACCACTCTCCTTGAGCAAGCAGAAAAGGATAAATCAACTCTTGAATTAGGTACTATTGTGTTTTACTGTTGTTTATGTGTACATTGTTTACATTATAATACTAGTGGATTAGAGAATGTTGAGTATGGAAATAGTATCCTGTACTCAATATAGGTCAAACAAATTGTCCATCCATTAGAAATAATGAGATTGATGTAGAGTGAGCTCTGCTTACCATATATGGTATCATCAGCAATAATCATAGTATTTTTTTATACATGTATTTATGGGCTACTGTACATGCAGTGCAAATTTGTATAGGCATCAAATATCATTTTATTTTGTATTTTTGTATTTTTATTGATAATAGAAGATTATGAGAAACTTAAAGTCAAAGTTGCTGATTTGACTGAACTATTGGAAGAGAAGGATGAACAATATCTCAAGGAGAAACAGATCATTATTAGTTAGTTAACTATACACACAGCATGTATTAGATGAGAGAATATGTTTATTGTGTAGACGACAATCAAAATCTCATTTTGGAGAAAGACAAAGTTATAGCCAAACTGACATCACAAGTAGAGGAACAATCACAGAATGAGAAACAGATCATTACTGGTTAGTGTATCATCATCAATCAATAATAATTATTAATATTCTATTAATTTATAGACCTTAGAGCTAAAGTGTCTGATAATGAATTGTATACAAACAAACTAATGAAGGAGAAGTCACAACTACAGGAGAGAGTCACATCCTTAGAGGAACAATCCATCAAAGAGACTACTTCCATTGGACCACAATTTAATTATTTAGAGGAGGAGCAATTGAAGAAAAGTATTGTATTGTAACTGTATACTACTAAATGATTTATTATTGTGATGCACTATAGAAAATTCAAAACAAGGTGCTCCATTTTCAAGATTCTTAATCCTAATTCATTTATTATTCATTTCTTTTGTGCTATCTACAAATTACAACTCAAAGCAATTTATTGGTAAGACTTAAAACAATATAACAATAAATAATTATAATTATTATGTGTAATTCCTAGCTCCATTGCCAGATGTAGAGATTATGGCTTTGACCAATCTATTAGTAGCTGGTGGTAGTCACACTCAGTTACACTGGGAGGAATATGGTCTTATGCTTGATGTTCCACCTGATGCTCTTCCTCGTGGTTTTATAGCTGAAATTACTGTTCGTGTTAGTATTTCCGGTCCATACGTTTATCCTAATT